GAAGGGAGGAAGGGAGAGAGGAGAAAAAGAAAGAAGTTAAGGCAGAGATGCCAATGAAACTTCTTTTATTTATTTATTTATTTTTATTGCATTCTCTCTGGAGAGGTGGGATGGGGCATGCCCACAGAAGGAAGTGGTGGTGAATTTTGGAGGCGCCCATCCTGCCCAAATGCAAATTTTATGGCTGGGAAATATTTATGATTACTGGAAACAGTTTGTAAGGTGATACTTCTAAACAAAGATTCTGCTCAAAACTAGGCTTCTTACAGACCAGGGAGAAAAGCATTTCATTTTCTATCTGCCAGTAACATTAGCATTGGCTCAGAAGTCACCACTTTAGTTATGTTATCCCCACCCAGGGGCGTATTACCCAATAAGCAAGGTACGATTTCATATGGGTTTCACCTGTAGTGAAAAATACTTAAATGGTTTTTAAACAGTTTGGGACTTCTGGCTCTGCCCTAAAGTCACAAATTGTATAGCAGGAAGTTAGGAGCCAATAACTGATGCTTCCTTGTTCTTTGTAGTAAAATACAAAACAAAACAAAACAAAAGAATACCCAACTTTTTGTTGTTGTTGAGTTTTGCTTTATTTTTGGTTTAGAGTGAAGGGCCAAGGAAAACAAAAACTGACTTCTTTAGAATGCGGTGGAATTTTCTGCCATAGGCTGGTGCCTAAGGGTTTAAAGAGGGAGGTTCTGACTGAGTGTTCAAAGGGAAGGCAAAGAACTCATGATGCCAAGATCAGCAGATAAGACCAGTGCCAGGTGGGCAGGTAGGGGAAGATGCAGCAGGCAGGTGGAAGACTAAGCTAGCTCAGACATGCTTCTACGGGTCTTCCAAAAATGCGCGGGTGGGACTCCAGAAGAATAGCCTGGGGCTGCCACAAAGGTCTTTAGGGGTTAATTCAAGGATCTGGTACTCCAGGCGCAGATATTTTACCACTAATCGAAGTGTTAAGAGATTCTTGTCTACACAGAGGTGCCGTGAAAGAAAGACCTGGTGATTTACATCCAAAATATCAGCCACTGAAAACTTTATGGAGTACAGTTCTACTCTGACACACAGAAATCGCCATGAGTCAGAACTGACTTGTTAGTAACTGGTTGAGCCCTTTAAGGCAGCGTATATCATACCTTCAGCAAACACTTCCTAAGCTGTGGAAGGTAACGATTTGAGCCCACAGTCAGTGAGCCTACAGTCAGTGAATCAATTCCAACTCTGATATCAGAGGGTAGAGTAGAATTACTCCTAGGGTTTCCAAGGCTGTAAATCTTTACAGAAGCAGAATACCACATCTTTCTCCCAAGAAGTGTCTAGTGTGTTTGAACTGCCTACCTTTTGTTTAGCAGCCAAGCACTTTAACCACTGTACCACTGAGACTTCTTATTGGAGCCTAGTGAGGGCTAATTTCTGGTCTCCTTAGAGAGCCTCTCAGATCTTGCTGCTGGCTAGAATCATCAGAAACAAAAAATGCAAATATTCAGCTAGAACAAATAAGCCAGAACCTAGGGGGACAGAGCTCGGGGATTGTATACTATGAAACACCCCAGATGATTTACTGTATAACCAGGGTAGAGAACTATTGGCTTACAGAAAGAATAAAAACCATTCATTTTTTCTCAATGCCATCAGATATGTGAACATTTGTCCAAGAGTGACAACTTTGCTTTAGAAAGATCATTTAAATGTCTATTAGTTATCCCTTTGTCCAGAATACATGATTTTAAGATTAAATCTCTAAGAGAAACTCATGAGGCAGATAAATAAATAATAATAAATCCTTATTTTAAAGATGGGAAAATTGAGGCTTCCAGTTCAGTAAGTTGACCAGACACAGAGCTAATAAATGGATAAATGGTATATCTGAGATTAAAACATAGAGCATCTGACCCCAAATGTACCAGTGATATTGTTATACTATTTAATTTTTAAAACAACCTGGTGAGAATTGTAAGCAAAGTATTTACAGGTGATGGAAGGGATAGAGAGAGGTTTTACATGTTGCTTAATGTGGCTGCACAAGCCAGTAGCATAAACAAACAAACAAACAAACAAATAAATAAATAAACACTGCCATCAAGTTGATTCCAAGTCATAGTGACTTTCATTGGGTTTCCAAGGTAGTAAATCTTTATGGAAGTAGATTGCCCAGTTTTCCTTCCACAGAATTGCTGGTGGATTTGAACCACCAACCTTCTGGTTAGCAGTGAGATGCCTTGGGTACTGTGCTACCAGAGCTCCTCCCACAAGCCAGTAATAGAGCTAAAATCAGAACCTATACTTCCTGATCCAGTGCTCCCTCTAACAACAACCCAGGGCTACTATTGTCCCATTAACCCCTGATTTTCAAGCAATCCAATTGCAGAACAATTTACTTAGCTCACAAAGAAAATAATATCACCGGAGGCATACCTAGGGTACGGCAGGTATGACATATGCCCTGGGCACCCCTTGAGGTGGTCAAAAGTGAGCATTTTCTATTGGTCATCACAGTTTCCATCACCAGCTGTGAAAGATCATTCAGCAATTTAAAACTAATTGATATAGGCACTGTTTTCTGTAGATAGGCCTCTGAGTGTCACCATCCTGTCCTATTCAGACAACAAGAGTTGGGTCTTAATTTGTGTGCCAATTTCTTTTTGCTTTTGAGTAAACTTAGCTAGAACTTGCCTTCTCCCTTGCTGCCCAGGGCAGAAGTTTGACATCCAGGATCTGGAGACAGTTTAGGGGTTAATGTGTAACTCTCACTGACCATCAGCTAAGAGCCCCACAGGAAAGTTATACTGGCTGGTGCAGGCCTGCAGTTTTTCTGGGCTACTGAGATTTGTCACGTTAAACAAGGAACAGCATATCTGTCCCAACTAAGATTCACAAAATTATCTCAGTTGGCCTGGGCGATCTGCTTCCATAAAGATTTTGTTGTTGTTTTTGTTAGTTGCTGTCAAGTCTATTCTGACTCATGGCTACCCCATGTGTGCGCAGGAGAACTGCTCCATAGTGTTTTCAAGGCTGTGACTTTTTGGAATTAGATCACCAGGATTATCTTCCAAGGAGCCAACCTTTTGGCTACTATTCAGTGCTTAACTGTAGATTGCTGATTAAAACCAACAACAACAACAAAACAACCTTATGGAGCACCTCTATTCTGTAACACATGGGGTTATCATGAGTCAGAATAGACTCAATAGCAATTTTTTTTTTTTTCCCCTGGCCTGGAGAAAATGTTGTCAGGCATATAGGATGCTCATAGAACATACAACTGGCAGGTGCCAAAAGACACAGGGACTGCAAGACTAGGAATTTATGCCTAATGAGAATTCATTCAGTTTACTTTACAAATATTTAGGTAAAGAGTTGGAGGGACAACATTTGAATTGGGTGGGACAGAATTAGAGAAAGATTTGACAACATGCATGTCCTGTTGTTGTCTTACTTGGGAAAATAAAACAAACAAGCAAACAACTCTCACGGGATTCATATGTTTTAACACACTGTTACTAGATTTTATTTTTGCAAATTTTGAAGAGCTCTGGTTGTGCAGTGCCTAAGGCATTTGACTGCTATCCAGAAGGTTGGCAGTTCAAACCCACCAGCTGCTACATGGAAGGAAGATGGGGCAATCTACTTCTGTAAAGATTTACCGCCTCAGAAACTCAATGGGGCCCACTATGGGTTAGAATCGACTTGATGGCAGTCAGTTTGGTTTTTAATGTTGTATTTATGTGTATGACACTAATACAGACAGTGTACTTACCTACAGTTAAATAAGTAATAACCCTGACATAGAAGAAAGCATTTCTTCTTTGTCACAGTCAGAAAACCTAGTCCTGAGTTATGAATATTAGGTAGTAACATGGTAAAATACTTTTGATATCTTAAATTAAAAACAACAACAACCAAACCCTGCATCTATGTACTATGATTGCAAAAATGTTAAATATGTGTAGTGATGTAGGTGTATGTACTTATGAGGGATGTAAAGACTGAAGGAAATGCCCCCAAAAGATCCTTTCTTAAATCTGATTTTTTGATAGTTAGTATGTGTCTCTTGTTCAAGATAGTTGGGGAATAGTTGGGGACACTCTGTGACGCTGTAAATGCAGAAGATCCTAGATGATGTGTTTTCATGTTCCCTGGAGAAACAACATGATGCAGAATAAAGAAGGAAACAGGAGTCAGAAGACCCTGGTTCTGGCCTTCACTTGTGGGGAATGCTATGTCATCCTGGGGAAAGAACTTAATTTCTTCACCTGCTACCTGGATGTTGAGGGATAGCAATCCTAATGAATCAAAGATGAAGGAACCTTATGAAGAAAGTCCAGATCAAAAGTTTCAAATTTGAATGCTTTAGGGGCCAGACAGATAACTTAAGGAAAAAAAGTGGGAGGGAATCTTTGACATAGATGTTCTTCACTTAATAACCATTTAAGACTATTTTTTTTTTTATTACCACAAAAAGTATATTCCCTCCACCTTTTTTTCCCCTTGAAACAATTAAGCTTTACAAATCTAACTTTTGTTTTCCTAATTTGAGTGGAGTCGGCTCAATGGCAGATTGTTTTTTGTTTCTTAATTTTATTATCAGAAAAGCATGCATAATGATAAATGATGAGGTACTCATTTCAGTGATGAAGGTAAATAGTAGTGGGGGAACTGAAGACTACATGCCCAGTCTAAGTGCATCAACTCCTTAACTCAAGCCAAATATTGGCAGGAGGAAATGCTGGCTTAGTGTGAAGAATTTTTCTAATTTCATTTTTAAAGGAAAACCCAGAAATCTACACTTGCATATGAAATTTCCCAATTTATAAGCAACAACAAACATTTCAAATGAAAATAATCGTATGTGCCCAGCAAAACACATATGTGACCAAAGGCTGACATTTTGAGAGCTCTTCAATGTTTATACAGTCTTTTGTATTCCTCACTGCAGAGCCTTCTCCCATCTCTCCCAAGATGGTACACATACAATTCAAAAGCAAAAAGCAAGAACTTACTATGGGGCTGCTAAAGGCCACAGGAGGCTGTGCGCTTTCACAGTGCCCCATGGACCTTTGACGGGAATGGCGCTGGATGGGCACTCGGGCACTCTGGCTTCTCCTCAGAGGCTGGGAACCTCCTTGGCCTCTTAAAGTTGTTGGGCCCTGGGCCCATCTGGCTGGGAAGGTCAGACACTGGTATTGGGTCCATTCTTCACTGTCTGAGTCCAGCTCCTTTGGGGTCTCCAGTCGCTTGGCTGCAAGAAAGGAGTCCCGTTATTGTCCCAGACATATTTTGGCTGGATCGTGACTGGGGTGATCCTAAGCTTTGTGGATTGGAGTAAGAGCATGGGAAGGATTGCTCTGGGAAACTGACAACTGGGTTACCCTGACTAGAGAAAGATGGGTGGAAGTAGCTCACATAAGTTCAAATCCTGGCTCTACTACTGCTAGTTACGTGACTTTGAGCTTTGACTTATCTGAGCCTATATTTCTCTATTAGGGATTTTTAAAAAGTACTCAAATAAAAGAGTTGCTTTGAAGACTTAATGATATAATGTGTTAAAGTGGTTACCACACTTTTAGTCCTGGTAATGACATTATTATTAACACTTTTATTATTTGTAAAACGACATGCTTTCAAGTGAACATTTAACTACCACCAAGGCAAAAGGGATAGGGCTGCCTGTAATGTCTCTTCTTTCTCTTTCTCAAAAGAATTAATGCTGCTCCTTTGAGAGTTTCTTCTCTTAGTTACAAAGTGTATGAGTGTTTATGACGGGTAACTAAGGGAACAAGGTGAATTTAAAGGGCACTTTCAGTCTATGAAAGATGACAGTCCAGGCAATTTTACATTTTACAGCCATATCTGCTAAGTTGAAATTTTGCTTCAGTGAAAATCCAAGCGATCAGTTAGCATGGAAAGAATTTCCTGGGTGTGTTGAATCTAGCCATGAGCCTAGACCTTGATTTGTCCTGGCATCTCAGATAAGGTGACCTGAGAAATTTTTAGGCCTTTGCTGTATGACTGGGATACAATTGGGACATGTCACTAACCCATTTCTGATACATTAAAAAAAAAAAAAAATCCTGTGTGTAAATCACACTAGAAAAAAGATCAACTGGAAGGGTACCATGTAGAGCTGCTGTGGATAAATGAAAGTTTAGTAGTATTAAGAACAACTCTGAGCTGTGACAAAACAAAGCACATGGAGACAGTAAGCAACTTGCCAAAATGCCACATGCATCTGTGGGAAGCCAGGGCAATGTCTTTTACCCCTTATTCTCTGAGGAGGGTAGGATGTTTCCTTTTAGAAAAAGGGATGGAGACCCTTGAGAGCCCCACCTACCATTTTCTTGGTGGGAAAATTCACTGCCCATGATGGTGCAGCGCCGGAACACCATCTTGTTCTCAGTCAGGGTTCCTGTCTTGTCAGAGAAGATGTACTGGATCTGGCCCAGGTCCTCAGTGATATTGAGGGCTCGACATTGAATGGGTACATTGGTCTCTTCGTCATATAAGTCAAGGTCATTGTGCAGGAAGAAGATTTGCCCAAGCTTCACCAACTCAATGGACACATACAGAGAGATGGGGATCAGCACCTGAGAGGAGATCAATTCCCACTATGTTAGAAACCAGGCTGGGCTCCCTGTGTCAGGACCCTAATAGTAGGTAGTAGAAATATTGAGTAGAAAGCTTGGTGGACTTTCTCTGAGAAATAGAAGGTCAGTGACTTTATGCTTCCCTTGGAAACTTATGGGATTCTTAGGGGAATCTGAAAAAGAGGCAAAATTTCTTCAACCAGGGAGTCAAATAGTGTCTGGTAGGAAATAGACCTCACTATTGGTTTATTTACTGCCTGAGCTGGTGGAGTGTGAAGAAATGTTAACGCCTCTGTCCAGACTCTTCCTCAGATCTCTCTGCCAGCCACTTTTACAGGAAATCAGACCCATTGTTGATTATTGGTCACTGATTCAATACATAATATTTATCAAGTGCTGACTATGTGTAGATACTGTTCTCCAAACCAAACAAAACTCACTGCTGTCAAGTCAGTTCTGACACATAGCGACCTTATAGGACAGAGTAAAACTGCCTCATAAGGTTTCCAAGGCTGTAAATCTTCACAGAAGTGGATCACCACATCTTTCTCTCATAGCTGGTAGGTCTGAACCACTGACTTTTGGGTTAGCAGCCAAGCATTTTGACCATTGCACCACCAGGACTCCCTAGATACTGCTATAAGTCCTAGAAATAGTACTGAACAGAGCAAGATCTCTGGTCTTAATGTCCTCATATTCCAGTGAGAGGATACAGGCAGTAAGAAAACAAATAAATATATATCAGTGGGGATAAATCTCTTGAAGAATAAAGAAAAGTAAAGGTAGAGAATATGAGCTGGGAAGGGCTCTTGTATATACATGACTTTTACACAGAAACCTAGAAGAAACAATGGCATGAGTCATGAGTATATCAATAGGAGGAACATCCCAGGCAGAGGGAACAGGCAAAGCCAAAGCTGGGCAGTAACAATGTCTTGGGTGCAGAGCTTTGAACTGGTTTGAACTGGTTCAGTTATGGCCAATGAAAAGACCCAAATTTTTAAAATTTGGGGGATTCAGAACACTTAATAAAATGGGAAATATTGTAGGTCAAAGCCCTGGAATGGGAGACTCAGAAGAGGCACAGTGAGCTCTTTCAGGAGGCTGGTACCTGACATTGGATTGTTGCCAGGACTGTGGAAAGTGACACATATTGAAATCTGCATGGTTGGCCACCACCATCTTTGAGGGTGGCACAATGGTTTTGACTGAACTGGGTAAGAGATTTGGTTGCTATGCAATGCACATGTTGCCCTTGTTTTCTATGAGGGCAATTAAGTTTCTAGCAGGGCTTCAACCCATAATTTTTTCCATTCTGGTTAATGTTCTGATTCACCCACTCTGATCATTATTGCTTTATCTGTTCTATACCTGGCAAAGGGACAGGCATGCTTGAGTCATTGTTGTAATCTTGCTCTTAAATAGAAAAGACAAATAATTATTTTTCCCATTCTACTATCTGGGAGAGGGTGCTGTGGTAGTCCACAAGATTGAGCTCGTTCTGACATTACTGCAAGTGTGAATACATTCAAAGACATACAAGAAAGCAATAAATACTTTCCCATCTCAGTCCAGTTAGTTCTCTTTTGAAGCCAATGTTAATTTTTCCTTATTTTGAAAAGTTGTAAGAATACAACAAATAAGGTCTCAGCTTTTGGGACCTTATTTAGGGTGAGTTTCCCACCTGGAGCAAGATGATCATTGTGAGGAACATGTAGAAGCCCCCAAGGGCAAGGGGAGGGAAGTCGCCATTGGCATCTGGAACGTCAAAGGGAGGGTGTTCTTCAAAGGTTGCATTCCAGAGGGTGTGACCTGAAAAGAGGTAAAGCCAGGGCAGAATCTTCACTTAATCCTAAAAATGGTCAATTACATGAGCCCATGAAGTGGGTGTGCTTCAGAAGAACCAATCCATATTCTGTATGACATGGTTCTCTTTATATGTATCATTTATCTCTAAATTAGTCATTAATATACCTTAAACTTCAATCATTTGATTAAATTAAGTTTGTTCTATAAGAGGACTCTAGCATGGGAATTACTTATATTATAATGAAGTCCTGTTATTTAGGTGTTGGAAAAAAAAAAAGAGACATGTGTTCTATTCAGTTGTGTGCTAGAAATTGCATGACAGGGATGTCTTGACAGATATCCCTTGACAACCCTTCCTTATCTATCCACCCATCCATCTATCCATCCATTCACCCACTCATCTATCATCTGTCCATTCATCCTTCATCCTTCCCTCTGTCCATTTATCTATTCATTCATCTGTCCATCTGTCCACCCACCTATCTATCCATCCATTCATCAACCCATTTATTCATCCATGTTCCATCCTTTTAGTGAATATTTAGTATATTCAAGGAGGAGTTAGTCCTAGATCTTGTCCTTCAAGAGCTCTCTATTGAGCTAGGGAGACAAACAAGAAAAAGGATGAAATCCTGTACAGTGTGAGGGACTGTGTCAGAGCCCAAAATGCCATGAGAGTCCTTGGCAACAGTGCCAGATGTAGACTGAATCTTCTATTTCCCTGACTGCAAAATGGGGATAACAACACCCATTATCTGAAGTTGTATAAGATGAAGTGTATCCAGCACCTGCTACAGAGATTTCTGAAACTCAGTACCTCAGCTGTTAATTTGTAATTCTACTTTTCCTACAGAGTTGTTTTGATAGTAGAATAACTTGGTATGTATAATGGTCCTAGCCCAGTGATGGGCATGTGGTACATGCTGAATAAACACCAGCTGCCTCTTCAGCTCCAAGGTATGAACTATAGGGAATAAAAGACATAGAGAATGTTGTCTTGCCTGAAGACTCTTTCACACTCAGGGGCTTGGGCCAATGCTATCATACGTTATAGGAAAGGAAAGTTAGAAATATGAAGGTGTTTGAAGGAAATATTACAGAGTAAATGACTAGGGGCCAAACATATGGCATAGAGTAAGGATTACTATCCTTCAGAGGGGTCAGAAAAGACCTTGAGAGAAGCTAGAGAAACTTGCATGAAGGAAAAGGGCTTGAGAGGTCCTGAAGCCTGGGCAAGTGGTGGGTGGATAGAAAGGTCTGGGAGAGGATATCTTGGACAAAGAAAGAATAAATTCCACCTTTACAAAATCAATGTAAACATGTGGCAAAGAACCCTGGAATTATGCTCAAGAGCTTTCACCTTCCCCAGTAGCTCTGCTTTAATTAGGTGCCAACAGAGGTCTGCCGCTGCGTGAGTGTCATTGTCAGAAAGAATAGAGTTCTGCCTCCCTATTACTTCCTCAATTTATTTATTATTTTGGTGAATCTTCTAAGCTGTTTCTGGTTTGTCTGTAGCTTATCTCATGGTGTGACCTCTTTGTCATCAATTTCTTTTCTCTGGAGATAGAATGAGATGATCTCAAATGTCTTTCCAGCTCTGACATTCCCTGAAAAACAATACTGAAGCAGAGACAACAGTCCGGCAGCATCACTGAGGGACACAGAAGTGGCTATTGGGGACTGTATTCTGGGCTTGCTTTCTGTCCCCTCCATATATTCTTACAGTGGTGAACCACCCTCATGCAGAGTGCTATTAAAGCCATTTGGGAAGCATATTAATTAAATACTCTAGGCAACCCACATGACTTAATCAGAGTATCTTAACTGTAGTGGCACATAAAATCTCTTAGTCCCAGCAAGGCCTTGCCCTTTCAGACATTATCTTTCTGAAAAACAGTGATGAGAATGATTCCTAAGGCAAGTAAAGAAAGTAAAGAAAAAACACTACTGCTGCTTATTGGTTTTGGTTTGGCAGTGGATTCTGGACTCAGCACTTGAGTTCTTCCTCTTGAGCTTCCTTGGTACTTTTTGGGGTCTCCTGTAGGGGCCTGAGAGCCATGCTTTGAATGAAGCCACAGAGGGGTGGCAGTGGATAAGAGCTCCAGCTATGGTCTCTCTTTGCCTACACTATGAGGGTCAACTTAAATGCCTCCAAGTCAGTCCTACTACTTAAACTTTCCACAATTCCCCATGCTTATAGCAGTTGTAGAACTCAGCTGCAACCAGGTTCTGATTCAAGTTTCCTTCCTGGCCTTGCTCTTGCAACACCAAATAGCAACTGTTCTTCTACATAAAATGATTCTCTGCATAAGATGTGCTTTGTTTGTGCCATCTTGGAGGTGAAGAATGGGCTCTTTCTCCTCATATGTGTCTATCCTGTCCTGCTCCTCTCTTTGCCCATACCATCTACCTCTCCTGGCAGACTCCTACCTGTATTTGGGAGCCAACTCTAGCACTGATCTTTGCATGAACAACTTCCCTTCTTGAGGCTCCTATAAATGCTTGTGGCTAAGATGAATAATGGTCCCTCAAGATGTCCATGTTCTAATCCCTAGACCCTTCAATTATGCTATCTTATATAATGAAAAGGACTTTGGAAATATGATTATGGATCTTGATATAGAAAGATTAGCTTGGATTACCCAGGTAGGCCCAATGTCCTTATAAGTGAGAGGTAAGGAGAGATACCATTACAGAAGAGAAGGTGATATGAGCAGAGATTAGAGTGATATGCTTTGAAGGTGAAGGAAGGAACCACAAGCCAATGAATACAGGTAGCTACTAGAAGCTGGAAAAGGTGAGGAAACAGATCCTCCCCCTTCCACAACTCTCCATGTTGTTTTTAGAAAGAACTTCTAGAAGGTACCAAGCCTACTGCCAAAATTTGACCTTATATTAAAAGTCCTATGTGTTATGAATTATATTGTCTTCACCAAATATATATTGAAGTCCTAACTCCTACACAGGCACATTGCCAAGATATTGTGTGTTTGGTTCCAGACCACTGCAATGAAATGAATATTGCCAATAATGTGAGTCATATGAATGTTTTGTTTTCCCAGTGAATATAAAAGTTATATTTTCACTATACTGTATTAAGTGTGCAACAGCATGTTGACAAAGTTTGAAATACTGTGAAAATTGCCATAATGTGGCACAGAGACACAAAGTGAGCATATCCTGTTGGAAAAATGGTGCCGATAGACTTGTTCAACAGAGAATTGTCACACAACTTCAATTTGTAAAAGACACAATATCTCTGAAGCACAATTAAGTGAAGTGCAGTAAAATGAAGTATTCCTGCACCTGTAAATATAATCTTCTTTGGAAATAAGAGTTTTCTTTGATATTAGGTTACTAGAGTGAGTCCTAAACTTAATCACTTATGAGTTATAAAAGGAGCAGAAGACACATGACATTTGAAAATCCACGAGCAGAGAAATGCCAAGCATTGCTGGCAGCCACCAGAACCAGGAGAGAGTCTCACAGAAGAAAACGACATGGCAAAGACCCTGATTTAGACTTTTATCCTCCAGAACTGTGAAAAAAATAAATTTCTGTTATTTAAAGCCACCTAGATAACTAAAACATTCAAGGAAACTGATTTTGGACTTCTGGCTTCCAGAACTGTAAGAAAATAAATTTGTGTTGTTTTGAATGACTGAATTTGTGACAGCAGCAATAAGACACTAATACAGCAGTTTGTGTGTGTGCCTCACTGAGTGTGGCAGATTGTATTATTGATTCTAATAGTAGTGTATTGGACTCCATCTAGCTCTAGATTATGAGCTCTTTGAGGACCGGTCCTCTGAGTGATTCATCTTCCCATGCTAACATGCTTATCCTTCCACGCTAAGAGAGTACATGAGTTCAGTAAGTATTTCTTGAACAAATAAATGACTAATGACAATTTCTAATATTTAAATAGCACATAATCCTTTTAAGAGATTTTCACTTGCATTTTATCTCTTTGGCATCTCATTAATCTAGACAGATTAATTTTTATTAACCCTGTTTTACAGATAAGGAAACAGAGACTCAGAGAGTTGAAGCAACTTGGCCAAGGAAACAGAAGCCTACTGTATTCTTCTTTCTGAAATATTCCATACCTACAGCTCCGATGAGGCACATGAGGAAGAGGATCCCGATGCAGAAGAAGATGTGTGTGTTCATGCGCCGTTCAATCTTACTGCGTTTGTACCGTGGGCCACTGTTGTTCAGCATGGCTTTTGTCTCATGGCCTTTGAGAGAAAAATGGGGAAATCAGCCCCTGTTTGTGTCTGGCCTGGAGCTCACCCTTGGCTCTTCTCACAGGAGCTTATCGTCGGCATTCTCTAACCAGAAGCTGTCCTGCTTCAGGGAGGTTGCTAAGAACTTGTGTTTTTGAGGGAGGCTGCTGAGAATAACTATAGTGGTCTCACATAATAGTCAGATACTTATTGAGTACCCTCATGTGCCAAGCACATTAACTATGTGCAGGGTGTATAGGTTATGACCCACCTCAGCTGAGCCCTAAGCAGCTCCCTTCCTATCTTGGAGTGCTGCATAAAATTTATTCAAAGAAAGAACAACAAAGTTTGAGAACTACTGATCTCATCCAGTCATTTCATTTTCTATCTGGGGAAACTGAAGACCAGAGAGAGGAAGGGTTTTGCCCAAAGTGAAAGAAAAATTAGCATCAAAGGTAAAATGAGAACCAGGGTTCTGATTCCCAGTCTATTTTTCCTTCTTTTAGCCCACGGAAGGTACCATTTGTCTAATATTTAAGAAAATAAAACCCATTGTTGTTAAGTCAATTCCAATTCATAGCAACCCTAAAGGACAGAGTAGGATTTCCAAGGCTGTAATCTTTATGGAAGCAGACTGTCACATCTTTCTGCCATAGGAAGGTGGTGGGTTTGAACCATCAACTTTTCAGTTAGCAGCCAAGCACTTAACCACTGCCACCACCGCTCCTTTTTAAGAAAATAGGCCTTCCCTAAATAGCCAAAATAATATTTAAGAAAAAGAAAAAAGCAGGAGGTCTCACACTCTCCAACATCAAAACATAAAATACAGTCACTATAATTAAAACAAACTGATATTGACTCAGCAATAGACACAGAATTGACTCAGCAATGGAACAGAATTGAGAATCCAGAATTAAACTCAGCTATCTATGGACACCTGATTTTCAACAAAGGGTCAAAGTCAATTCAGTGTGGAAAAAATAGTCTCTTTAATAAATGGTGTAGGCAAAACTGGATATCCACCTGCATAAAAATGAAACAGGACCCATTCTCAATAAAAGACAAAAACTAACTTGAAATGGATCAAAGACCTAAATATTAAACTTAAAAAGCATAAAATTCCTGGAAGACAACATAGGAAGAAAACTATGAGACCTAATCTTTTGTGAAAATAGGATAACAAACATTATAACAAATTTTTGAATAGAAGAAGATAAAATAGATAGATGGGACCTCTTAAAAATTAAAAACTTATACTCATCAAAATACTTTATTAAAAGAGTAAATAGACAACCTAAAGACTGGGAAAATATCTTTGGAAACAATTTACCTAGTAAGGATCTAATCTCTAAAATGTATAGAAAACTGAAATAACTCAACAACAGAAAGGCTAACAACCCAATCACAAAATGTGCAAAGCATATGAACTGAACCTTCACCAAAGAAGACATCCAAATAGCCACCAAACAGATGAAAATGTTCGCAATCATTAGCCATTAAGCTAAATCAAATTCATTGCCATTAAGTCAATTCTGATTCATAGTGACCCCTCATTGAGTTTTCAAGGGCTATAAATCTTTACGGAAGCAGACTACCTCATCTTTCTTCTGTAGAGTAGCTGGTGAGTTTGAATCATCAACCTTTTGGTTAGCAGTCAAATGCCTTAACCACTGCACCAGAGAGATGTAAATCAAAACTACAATGAGATACCATCCTATGCTGGCTAAAATGGCACTGACTTAAAAAAAAAGAAAAAGAGAGAGAGAACAAATGTTGGCAAGGATGTGGTGAGATTGGGTCTTATCAATTGCTAGTGGGACTGTAAAGTGGTGCAACAATTAAGGAAAATGGTATGGCTCTTTCTCAAAAACTGAAAGGAGAATTACCCTATGATCCAGCAATCTCACTCCTAGGTATACACCATAAAAAAACCAAACCAAATTCACTCCCGTAGAGTCAGATCCAACTCATAGCAATCCCTCCTTGGGTTTCCAAGGCAGAATCACTACAGAAGTAGATTGCCCAGTCTTCCTTCTGAGGAGTGGCTGGTGGGTTTGAACTGCCAGCCTTCTGGTTAGCAGTCAGATGTCTTAGGCACTACGCCACCAGAGCTCCTTAAAATAATGACATGAACATATTTACACCTATATTCATTACTGCTTTATTCTCAATAGCAAAAAAAAAAAAAAAAAGGAAAAAGAAAAACAACCAAGTGTCCATCAACGGATGAATGGATAAGCAAATTGTGGTACCTACGTATAATGGAATACTACGCAACTATGAAGAACAATGATGAGTTTGGGAACCATATTATAAAATGGATAGATCTGGAGGGCACAATGCTAAGTGAAACAAGTCAAGCATATAGGGACAAACGTTATATGATTCCTCTTTATAAGAAGATAAGAATAGATAAATATAGAGAGACCAATGTTCATTGGTGGTTACTAGGAAGGGGCAGTGGCTGGGGAAATTATACTTTATACAGTACAGAAGAGTTATTTTATTTAGTTGAACACTGAGAGTAGTTACTTTGGTGATGGGAAAAGTGGCACTAATTATGAATATAGTGAGCACAGCACAACCAAAATAATAATGAGTGTTTGAGCACATATGGATGGGCATACGCAAATTGGAATATAGGTAGGTACAGATCCTGTACCACCACTCATCTATCAGTTTGTGGTACTGTGGTGGTTTTCATGTTCTGTAATGCTAGAAGCTATGCCACCAGTATTTCAAATACAGGAAGAAGGGCCTGGTGATTTACTTCTGAAAAAACTGGCCAGTGAAAACCTTATGAATAGCAGTGGAACTTTGTCTGATACAATGTCAGAAGATGAGCCCCTCAGGCTGGCAGGCACTCAAAATATGACTGGGAAAGAGTTGCCTCCTTAATGACATGGATGGAGTAAAGGTTTTGGGACTTTCATTTGCTGATGAGGCAAATGAGAGAAACTCAAAATGAGAGAAACAGCTGCAAACATCCATTAATAATCAGAACATGGAACATATAAAGTATGAATCCTTCCTGGAAGCTGTCAAAAATGAAATGGAACACATAAAGATCAATATCCTAGGCATTACTGAACTGAAGTGAATCAGTGTTGGCCATTTTGAATCAGACAATCATGTGGTCTATTATGCTGGGAATGACAAATTGAAGAGAAATGGCATCACATTAATTGTCAAAAAGAACATTTCAAGATCTATACCGAAGTACAGTGCTGTTAGAGATAGGATAATATCTATACACCAAAAAAGGAAGACCAGTTAATATGACTATTACTCAAATTTGCTCACCAACCACAATGCCAAAGATGAAGAAATTGAAGATTTTTACCAAATCCTGCAGTCTGAAATTAGCGAAACATGCAATCAATGTGCACTGATAATTACTGGTGATTGGAATGAGAAAGTTGGAAATAAAGAAGCATCAATAGTTGGCATTGGTGATAGAAAGGACACCAGAGATCACATGATAGAATTTTGGAAGACCAGCAAATTGGCTGGAGCTCTGGTAGCATAGTGCCTAAGGCATTTGATTGCTAACCAGAAGGCTGGTGGTTCAAACCCACTAGCCACTCCTCGGAAGGAAGGTTGGGCAATCTACTTCTGTAGTGATACCGCCTTGGAAACCCAAGGAGGGGTCGCTATGAGTTGGGTCTGACTTGATGGCACATAACAACAACAACAACAAGAGCAAGTTGGCAGCTGGAACCCACCCTGTGGCACTGTGGGAGAAAAGTTACAGCCTTGAAAACTCTATGGAGCACAGTTCTCCTCTGCAACACACGGGGCCTCCCTGACTTGGAGTCCACTTGATGACAACTGGTTTGGAATTTTTTTCTTCTTTTTTGTAAGCCAGATCAGAATTCTCATTTTACCAATGAGGAAGAAGGTGCTGAAAGGGTGGCCTAAGGCCACCAGGCAAACTAGGAGCAGTGCCAAACTGGGAAGCAGCTCTTCTGACTGCCTCTTCTGCCTCAGCTGGTGGGATGACTGTCTAGTTTGATCCCAGCTTTTAATTCACTTTTCTTGTTCCTCTGCCTGCAGCATTCTTCCTTCACTTCTTAGCTTGGTGGACACTTTTTTTTTTTTTGTCCCCTGGGGCTTACCTAAATACCACATCTTCTGGGAAACCACTTTCTTGACCCCTTAAACTGGGTCCCACAGAACCTTGCACTTTTCTTTTCTCAGTCCTGTGCCACTGTCCAAGGCCCCTGCTAGGCAATACTACTAGCTCATGAGCCAGGACTGTGCACCTTTCGCCTAATGCCACAGTGCTTAGAACATAGTAACTAGTTGTCCTCAAGTTGACTCTTGGTGGCCTCATAAGTGTCAGAACTGTACTCCAGTGGCTGACTTTTTGGAAGTAGATTGTCAGGTCTTTCTTCTGAAGTGCTTCTAGGTAGATGTGAATTTCCAAGCTTTCAGTTAGCAGCCAAGCATATTAACCACTTGCACCTCCCAGGAACTCCTTCAATTCTGACTCATAGCAACCCTATGAGACAGAGTAGAACTGCCCCATAGAGTTTCCAAGCTTGTAAATCTTTATGGAAGCAGACTGCATCATCTTTCTCCTACAGAGCAGCTGGTGTGTTTGATTTTCCAAACTTTTGGTTAGCAACCAAATGCCTTAACCACTGCACTGCCAGAATTCCTTTGGAGATGATACCAAAATTCCAAACTCATTGCTGTTGAGTTGGTTCTGACTCATAGCGACCCCTCCTTGGGGTTACGAGGCAGTATCTCAACGGAAATAGATTGCCTAGTCTTCCTTCTGAAGAGTGGCTGGTGGATTTGAACTGCCAGCCTGATAGAAACCTAAATATTTGTTGAATGAGCTCATGAATGGGTATTTATAAATCATTTCAAGTGTAAAAGTTTAAAGAGGAAGTAAGAACAGAAATCACTTCACTGTAGGGAATAAACAACAAGATCAACAAATACACAGGGCTGGGTGCTGGGTCTGGGCTAAGCCTTTCAATGAATTTTCTTCTAGAATCCTC